AATTAAGGATTGTAAGATACCTTGATCTAACATAAAATTGTGGAATCTAAGTGATTCTATCTCATTCTTGATCCTGTCTTCATCTCCCTTTCCCCAACAGACAGTTTTCATGAAAAATTAGAAGCTAGGCAGCCACATGAAATCATTCACGCTTTGTTGTATGAATGAAAGGTTTTGATACAGTTGTGCTACTTGTATTTCCTTTGTTGTCCATATTCAAAACTATTCTCTGCATAACATTTCCAAAAACTACATTTTGTTCAGGTGGATATCAATGTATATAAACATCAAATATAACAAAACATTCTGTGCTGATTTTAGAGGAGTGGACATTGTTATTCACATCAATGCTTTTTGTACCATGAACAATGAATGTGGACATATTAGAAGATTTCCTTTGGATCCAGCACTTGAGATCTGACATTTGTATACTGGAAAGTTGAGCAAAATGACGACAGCAGACCCAAAACTGCTTTTAGCGTGAGAGGTAGATTGTATGAGTTCCATGTCATGCTATTAGGTTTGTGTAATGTGCTCGACATATTCGAGAGGTTAATGGAGTGCACATTAATGAGAGAGATGCTTGACCTAGGTCAACAGTGTGTTTTGTCACATTTGGAGTTTGGTAGACAACTAAAACTTATTTGCACAGAAGTATAGTTTCTAGTCTCATTGTAAGGCGAGATGGAGTCTCTATGAGCCAAGCTAGAAGTCTGCTGCTCCCCAATTTAATTTCGTATTATCAATAGTTTTTGTACACTTTCTCCAAGATAGTTGTACCACTGTCATTATCTGATCTTACTAAAGTTGAGATGTGCTTTGGATGAAGCAAGAAACACGTCCAAACATTTTAATTCCCAAAGCTCGCTTTAGCGGATGCTCCAGCGGTGGTATATCCATGACAAGACTACGAGTTTTTATTGGACACCAGAGCCAATGACAATGGGATTGAGATTTTGGTATCACAATGTGAGATAGCAAATTCTATTTTTTTGTGATTATGGTTATGTTTATCGTTCATTTATTATTTCCTTCCATTGTTTAGTTTATCTATTAATTTTTAGTTGCATTAAGATGCTACCTCATCTTCTATATAATCATTTGTATTTTGAGTAAATATATATGTGTGTATGATGAAACTGACACCAGCTTCCCTAGTGGTGACGTACAGATATTATTAATGTAGAAGAAGAGTATGTAAATTTATGATCACATGAGGTTGTACTCTCGTGACATACTCTCTGAATAAACGCCCATCCAGAGCTTCACTATGAGAGAGAGAGTCACGAGATAGTTATTGAAGGGTATAGTTATTGCTGTTTGTCACTCGATATTATTATTGATATTGAAATATATTGTTTGAATATTGTTTTTGTTTTGGGGATTAGTTTTTTCTGGTTATATTATTATTGATTTATTAATA